TTTTTTTTTTCGTTGAAATATTCTCAATGTTTATAGAACAAAAAGCCTAATTGCATGCCAATCAAAGCGTATACATGAAATTTGATTTATTATTCAGAAAAAGCTTTTCAAGAGCTTGTCAATGGATGATTAGGTTTGTTTGTATCTTACACATCGAATAACTAAGAGAATGAAAAAGACAAAATAGGGTTACAAAATATGTTATATGCATATTTGACAGTTTTCAACTCCGAATATTTGACTGTTAATTTTTTTATATTAATTGACAAAATACTGATAGAATTCATTTATTCTGAGACATTTTTTAATAACATTTGTTTTTCATAACACTTTGAACCATAGGATATTGTATATAATCTTTGATCCACTTTCAACTGTTGTATTTAAGAAAAATGCTCGATATAGTTAATATTAAAGAGTTGCCATCAGTATTATGTTAAACCTAACATAAAATTATCATATTACTTCAAAAGACATTTTACTTGTAAAAACCTTCAATTATTCAGATGTATACTTTACACTTGACCTTTTCCGTTTATGTAAATTCTATTTTTGAAGTATTTGTAAAGTATTATAATTTATATGGAATGATTCTTTGACCAAAAAAAACAATCTAGTTTAAATGAATGAAAAATTCAATTCAACAATAACTTGAATTGGAAAGATGAACATGAACAGTATTTATAATGGAAATTGTTCGACAAATTGGCTTAATAATAATTTTGTTTTTGTAATAGGATATTATTGCTGGTACATTGTATGCTTTATTATTAATTTATATAATGTTTCCATATGTGGATGCTATTGATAGTTTTCAATTAAATTATTCATGTGCTCCAATACTAAATTTTTGTATTGGAATACTTTTAATTAAATGTTATCCTAGTTTAAAACAATGGTCAACAGCTCGTTCAGATACAACAGTTATATTAGGTAGTGCATTTGGTTTATGTTCAGCAACAACAGCAATGCATCAAATTGGCCTTTTAGAAAAACCATTAACACCACCAATTTATTCTATAATAGCACCAAATTTAGGTTTATGTGTTGTACGTACAATACTTGGTATGATATTTATTTATGCTACACGACAAGTTGTTAAAACAATAGTTTTACGTGTAACATGTTCACTTTATGGACTTGATTGGAAAAATCCTGAATCAAAACGTTTAGCAAAAGTTGAAATGCCATATTATTATTTAACTTATTTTGCTATTGGATTTAATATATCTTTTACATGTCCGTTATTTTTTCGTGCATTAGGAATTAATCGAGATTATAGTTATACAGAACTATAAAACATCAACAAAAAAAAAAGAAGAATCAAAAACAAAAATCACCGGTGTGTTAATTTCGTTGAATTTTTTTTTCTTGTTATGTAGTGTGTCATTGCATTTAATAAATATATAATATGCAATACATTGAATTAAATTTTTCGACATGTAGTAAGAATAGCTTCATTTCTTTTCATTCAAGATACATAATATCTAGTCATTTGATACAAAACAAGAACAATTAATCTTTTTTTTATTTATATCTAGAATAGTACTATACTAATAAGAAAAAATTTTCACTTATCAAAATAACACAGATTTTTGATGATGAGAAAAACAAATACAAAAGATTGGATGCTCAAATTTCAACTATTTAATACGATATGGACAGAAAATTAATAGGTGATTTTTACTAACCTATGAATAAGTCAAATATTTATCATAGTATCAAACAAAGCACAGCTGCCTTTTTTTCTACTGGACGTATCGATCTATTGAATTCAGAACAGCTGTGAACGATTTATATTCATTATTTGTTTCTTGTCTATGTAATTTTAAACAATTGAAAATGTCTAGAATATCCTACAATTAATCAGTTTCTTTACTTATAAACAAGATTTACTAAGCTTACAGTCATTTTCTTCAATTACTTATTATATTACATGTTTTAATTCAACAGAAAATAATTATATTCATGACAATTCCTTTTCTACAAAGTAATGCATGATTATTTAATACTCACGTATTGCGTGGTAAGAAATAAAGAGAATAGCTTCTTATGTTTTTTTTTTATATAAATAGAAAAAGTGAAGTACTAATCGATTTAACATAAAATGTTTTGTTCAATTTGAAAATGTTCCAAAGATTATTAGTACTCATATACGTATACAATGTATATATAAGTGTGTGCGTGTGCATGTAACGAGCCGGAAGGAATTCTCTCATTTTCTCTTGAGGATTGTCCTGCGTGCACATGAGCGTCCATTATTTGCGGACAAGTGAGCATGCATGTGACTATACGCGAGTGTGAGCTCGTCACTCTTTCATCATTAGTAAGAGTAACGTGCATTACTTGTGTTTCAGATTTTCTCTTCATCGTATTCATTACTAGGTCGTTCTTCTTCTTCTTCTTCTTCTACTCTTGATTGACTGCAACTAAGCAACAAGCTCATAATGTCAAACAATTTTTTAAATTTTTAGACTCAAATGAATGAATATTCTTTTTTCTTCTACTTCTTCTTCTTCTTCTCCTTCTCTTCCTTTTATTTTAATTTCTTTTCATGTCGTTCTCTGTTGTGTCTTTGTCTTTCTTTCTTTTTTTTTTGTTTCTTTTTGATCCACTATTATTGTAAATGTGAAGACGCGTCTCTCATGATGGTTATGATGGCTAATTGGAATTTGCCGCAGCAATAGCCTATGTCGTGTGTGTGCATGCGTGGCTCCTGTCAGATGTGTCAAGCTCTTGGTGTCTTATTTCTTGAAGCGAATCTAATCATTTCAGAGATCGAGCACAAGAGGCAGAAAAAGAAAAATATGTTTGTGTCTGTGTAAATAGATATGAAATATTGATGCTTTTTTCACTCTTTTCTGTTTTGTATATATATTTCAAAAAAAAAACATCAAACAACTGTGAAACAAGGGGTAAGTGTGTATGACACCAAGTCTATAATGAACGAGAAATAGATCAACAATTAGTATTAATAGAAGAAGCTGACTTTAAATATAAGATACACATTAGAGTTCCATTAGTCGAAGTAAGATTTAGATACATAGCATTTGAATAACGATGATGACAAACATCAAGGACCAGAAATAAAAAATGATGTGTTCAATTGTGTAAGCATTTGTTATCTTTGTTGTCTCTATTTGCAAATCAATCAATGACGAATGAACGTGATCGCAAACATATATACACATATGCCATCAAAGACTAAGTAACAACAGGAGTTAAATAAAAGAAATAGCTTGTTGTGTATATGTGTATTTGGTTATGATGACGATACTAGAAACCGGAACTAGAGCGTAAAGAGCACAACGGATGACAATTTCTTCCGATTTTTTTCGCTTTGTTATGTTGTTGATGTCTTTCATTCGCTTCCCTATAATTATCCTTTACCCATGTGCATGAACAACGGAAGAACGACAAGCACGTAGAATACATAGATATAAATATATATTTATATCGGATAAATGAAATCAAAAAATGTCTATATACACATAGATATCTGTTGTTTTCGCTTCAAAGCTGTCAACAGTTTATAAACCGTTTGTTTATATCTAATTGTATATTATTAGGATGAAAGTCAACGTTCATTTATGATTGTTCTCATGATGAGATTGAAGACGTGTGTATTTAAATGAGATTTAGAAGTGCGGTTACATTGACATGAATGTAACTAACGACTTACACCATATTTTTCTTTTATAACAACATTAGTCACTGATTGTTTTTTTTATTTTAAAAAAAAATGTTTTAGGATAACCTTGAATAAAAAAAACAAAAGATGTCGTCGAACACACTCGTCACACCCAGTAAATCAATGTCATTGACTAATATTCTATCGAAACTTTCTTAATGTCTTCTGATTCTTAACAATATGTTACCGTTATTTTATTCATAGTCACTCGTACAGAAAAAAAGAGAGAGAGGAAAAAAATGTCGAGACAAGACCGAAAAGAAAAGAAACGTCCGTAGTCTGTTTTTTCTTAATAGTGGCACATTTTTTTTTTGCCTACAACATCGAACGCATCTTGCGTTTGCCTATGCGAATGATGAGAAATTCATCAACAACACACACACATATATATATACAATCAATTACATACACGAACGCCAGTTGAGTTTTCTACACTTTAATCCTACGAGTAAGTATTTAATAATATAACTTGTCTTTCGACAATAGACAAATGACGGCGTTTTTTTCATTGATATACATAAATCAATCTAACAAAATCATCTCATCAACTAGCTTTTTACTATGTTGAACAATGAACATCTGAATTTTATTATTAAAACGAATGGGAAACAAAGCTTCTCGAATCAGATTAAGCATTATATTCTGAAGCTAACTGTCATAGTCAATTGTATCAATACACAAGGCTTCGGTCAGATAATAGACGAAAAGAAGAAAAGACTTCTTTTTTTTTTATTATCTCATGTAAATTCCTTGTTTTTTTTCTTTCTATGCTTAAGACTCATCTTGTAAAAATGAATTGTATATTGAATATACTTTCCATTGACATCCGAAGCATTTTTTTTCTTGTCACTTCTACGAATAAAAAGCAAGGATAAGATTACGCTCATTAATATTGTCGTTTTCTTACGGCGAAGGAAAAAAGAACTGTTGAAGAGAAAGAATAAAATTATTATCATACTAGGTGGGTATATATTTTTTTTCGCTAATTATGTGACACTAGCACAATATTATAATTATAAATAATTTAAACAAAAAAGAAGCAAAAAATAAAGCTTAGAAGTTTTTATTCGTATATTAGACCAATACAGCTTATTTTGTATCAGTATGAATCCGTTTGTTATTTGAAGGTCTTCTTTATATTTTAGTAATTCAATCATCACTCTTTCTTTTTTTATGTATATATTGACTTTTGTATTTACCTTTTTTCTTTCTTTCGTTATAGATATTCAACTTATTCTCGTACAAGTTCATCATGTATTATCGATAGCTTTTTTTTTTCTTATTGAATGATTTGGATATTCATTTGAATATGGGTGATTTACCATTAAATATTGCCTCAGATGATTTATCATCATCTGCTGTACAACTCAACGAACAATCTAATTTAAATTCAAACAATTCCATAAATGGTACACTAAATACAATTAATAATAGTTTTGGTATTAGTTATGAAACAATGCGAATATTATTTCTTGCTGTGGCTATAATAACTGTATTTATTTGTGCTATTATATGTATATCTGTATGTATACGTTTCTATCCTAAACGGTATGTATAAATATTGTTTTTATTTATCTTTCATTATAAATTATTTGATGATTCAATCCATTGATTTGTTTTAAAATCATATGAACGAATTATTTGAGTATTATATTGATTATCTATATTTAATATTGAATGAGATATATGTAATTTATCATCATAAAATGAAAGACCATGCTTAAATTGTAAATTAGGTATAGTTGTTATTAATTTCCAATTCTTTTTCTCTTCATCATCTATAGAAAGAAAAAAAAAATCTAACATTTTAAATATATATATACATACAAATTCATCAAATACAAACACATGTGAACAGTTGGTATTGCTATAGGACGACGTTGTATGTTAACATCATAACCACCTGCTACATAAATAAATCTTTTAAATGGAACATTTTCATTTGGAACTGAAACAACTAATGAACGAGCTCTTATAGGTTCAATAGATGTTTCTTTTTTCCATTGAGTATCTATTGGCCATTGTAAACGATAATATTCACCATGTGTTATACTTTCATAAGATATAATATCAAATCCACCTATAACATGTATTTCACCATCAATTATTCCAACTCCTGGACCAGACTAAATTAAATGACAAACTAAGTTTTTTTTTTATTTTTTTTAATAAGTTTTCAAAATAAATGAAAATATTACTGTAGGTAATGGAAGATCAGGTAAAGAAGTCCATGTTTCTGGAAAGTTTTTTATTTCCATTATATAACATTGTGATAATGGTTTATTTCTGAGAAAATAAAGAAGTAAAGAATAATATTTTTATTATATTTACGAGGGAGTATGACCACCAATTACAACAATATATTTTCCATCTAGAAAATTTTATTTCAATAAATTTCTTTAATAAAAAAAACAATATTCACCTATAGCAAGTCCAAAACTCACAACCGCATTTGGTAATGAAACAATTGGTTGAAGAATATCAGTTTTAGGATTATATTTATAATCATTTTCAGGTAATTTACGTAATTTATTAATTGGATCAAATATATAACCACCAATAATATATGAATTATCATCAGCATGTATAATACCATATCGTTTTCGATATTGTTTCATATTTTCTAATAGAGATATTAATTTCTCTGTTAATTTGGTTATTTGCACTTCATCGATTTCTAATGTTGGTGATAGAATAACAAGTGATGGTTTAGAAAATTCTATTTTTTCATAATCAACATCATTTAATTGTCCAAAACCAATAGTTAAAGTTTTTTCTAAATAATTTTTATAACATTCATCAAAATGATTTGATTTACATAATAATTCATTGAATTGCTTTATTTGAATATATGATTGTTGTTGTTGTTGTTGAATAGAATAAATTGGTTCTTGATATAATTGTTGTATCATTACGATAGAAAAAAAAACGATAAATAAGAAAGTTATTGTCATAACAACATTGATTTTTATTTTGTTTTTTTTTTTTATTTTCAGACGGCGTAAAGCAAAAGGTCAAGGAAATAAAGATCAACTTTTATCAGAACAATCAATTATACCACCAGCTAATAAAACCTCTAAAATACCAATAAATAATTCAGTAAGAAAATATTAAAATAATTGATTAAATTAAAGAAAAAGGAAAACTACTTGTTTTCTGTATTATATAGACAACAACAAATGGCAAACAAGGATCATCTATTCAGCAAATAATTTCAAATCCAATTAAACCAATAACAAAACCATTTTATTATGATAATCTTGACGATATTCCGTTTATTGATGAATCTCGACCAACAAGTGTTGTTGATATCGCACAAGTTTAAAAACGAAATATTTTCTTTCGTATTTATGAACAGTAGATACTTGTCATTGGTCGCAACAAACGGAATTAAGTCAGATATCTTTATTTATTTTTTTTTTTTTTCTCAATTAAATCAAGAAATAATTATTAAATAAAACTTTTTCTTTTTGTTCTTTTGTTAAGTTAATTATTCATTTATTTGAACTTATATTTGTCAGCAAGTATTTCTACGTGCATCTTTTCTTTTTTTCTTTCTTTTTTATTGTCATTCTTCGATTTATTCTTGTTTCTGTCTCGCTTCATATTAACGTGAACATATGATTAACAAACAAAAAAAAACACGCTATACATTATCTAAGCAGAAAAGTTCGTAATTAAGAAAATTATTTTATAACAAATGAATCTTAGACATGACATCAATACTTTAAAAAACTTGTTCTACTATTTTTCTTGTAAAACAAGTGGACTATTGAATAGATGCCTAATTCGAGTTTCAACAGAAATCTAATTTAAAAAAATAAAGCATAAATAAATAATTATTCCAAGCCAAAGGTTTAATTTTGGCTCAATTGTTCTTATTATTGAAATAAGGAGTTCATTGTAAAAAAAAAAAAAAAGAAAGCCAAAAATAAACTTCTTATCGTGATTCTAGATTATAATTGAGTAAAAGACGCACTGTGTAACTTCTTTTAGCATAACTCTTTATATTCGAACTCGAATCCAGGCGACATACGAGAAGATTAGGATGCTTAGTCGATGAAAAATTTACACTATTATATCTAATTATTTCCTTGAATGACATAAGAGTTGTTAAAGAAAGATTCAGTAGATCTAACTTGTTTTATCAGAAAGAGTCGTTCAAGAAGTATTCGAGTACATAGAAATAAAAAAAACTGGAGTACTCATTTTACAAATTAACAAACCATAAAAACCGATATAATCCTATATTCTAAGTTAATAATAAACTAGAATCCTATTAAAAAGAGTAAAAAGAAAGATAATCATCTTAAAATCAAATTCTTGTCATTATCTCAATTAGAATATCAAATAAAAATTTTCCTTTATATCACTAAAAGAGCAAATAAAAAACAAATTCAGATGTACAAATAAAGTTCAAGATGTTTTCATAAATATTCATCTTGCAAATTATAATCTACAATATAATTTAATTTTCCTCATATGAATCTTTTTTTTTTATGAATGAATTTGTGCGACTTCTATATACGTCTCAATTGCAATTGGTCTACTCAAAAAGAAACAAATGATTCAACTAGTCTCTTCTCTTTTACTATTATCATTCATTTTCATATCTCTTGTAGTAGATTGTCTATAGAAACTAAAATGGATTTTGTCAAGTCTCAATTTGAAGCTGCTTTAGCTTCAAAACGTCCATTAACAAAACAAGGTTTAATATCATTAATTGATTCTGTTGAACAAACACAATTATCAACATTATATCGTTGGTTATTTCATCGTTTAAATGATCATTTAATTTATATGGCACGTCATAATCAACATATAGAATTTTTTCTTTCAACACGTCAATTATCATTTTATTTACATGAACACTTTATAAATAATTATACATCATTACAATCTTTATCAATAAAACAATTAAATCAAATTTTAAAAAGTCTTCAACAACAACAAACATTAACACAAAGTGAACTTAATCAATGGAAACGTTCACAGCCAGGTTTAACAAGTGATGATCTTATATTACATTGTTTATTTTATAATTCACCACAATTAGCTTTATCAAATGAAACAAGTTTATTTCTTGGTGATTTATTTCGTGTTGGTTTACATACATGTGTACAAAATTTAGCTGATAAAGATAATAAAACATCATTAAAAATTTTATTTAGTCTTGGTTTAGCACCATTAGATATTATACAACGAATTATGTCTACAACTGTTTATCATCATTTACGTACATATTGTGCACAATATTTAAATGATTTTGGTGAAGAATTTTATTTAATTAATCAAGAAATAAATATATTAAATTTTTTAAATCAATTAAAACAATTATATACAAGTGAAACAATATTAGATTTAATTGATAGTAGAAAACAATCAATTGAATATTGGAATAGAATATTTCCATCTGTACCATTAATAACAACATTTAGTTGTCGAGATATTGTACCAAATTTAAAACAACAATCTCAAACAATAACATTATCAAAAAGACTTGCATATATGCAAATTACTTTTGATTGGTTATATACAATTATGGATAAAGAGAATGAAGAAGAAAGACGATGGTTATTAGTTACAGAAGGTCGACATTTAATTGGTGAAGTACCACTTTTTTCACGAAAAGGTATTATTTAATACATATATCATTTAAATCTTAGTGCAAAAATGAAAGACTAAATGGGACAATCTTTAATTCGATCTCATTTGATGATTTCTCAGTACAGTCCTAATATTATTAATTACAATGATTCATTATTACAAGTAAAACCTTCTCCCAAAGTGTACATTTCTGTATAGTGGACATCGTCCTATTGTTCTATGGTGAATACTTTTCAAAAGTTTCAATGGTGTCTACGACAACAAAATTTTACTATATTTTAACAAAATGTTAACTTTCCACGAAGAAAAATACATGAAAAGAAAAATAATGATGAGCAGTAACTAATTATTTTATTCATTAATATCCTTCAGATAGCTAGAAAATGCATCTGTTCCTTGTAAGAAAAAAACAAACTTTGTTTTTAGAAAAGATCTAACCTTCTTATAGTGAATACTTTTGAAAAGTCTAAAAAGTGTTCATTATAGAGAGATTATACTGTATTATTTAATATAGAAGAGAATAACCCGATACATACAAAAATTATCAACATTTATAACGGACAGACACGTTATATATACAATGAAAAAAATTAAGTTGTTTCTTTTTTTTTTGCTTCTTAACAAATTTCGCTTTTTTTCCGATTCCACTATATTGGGTTGCTAATTTTAAAATCTTGATAGTTAAGTATCGATGCATTATAATGTGTCGTTGTGAATTAAATGCTACTTATTGTTTGCTTTTCGTATTCAATATATGTATCTTATCAATGATTGCTGATACGGCATTTGATTTAAACCAAATTTTTGTATGGATTCTACTCAATTCATGACTAATCATGAACGAACTGAAAAGAGATCGAATTGAGCAATCATCAAATGAGACCGGATCGGGGATAAATCGCTAAACGACATATGAATTCCCTTGTTTTGATATTTAGCAAATACTTCTTTTTTTCAATTTAGCTGTTGAGTCACAAACAGAACTTCAATTAGCTTACCTATACGCTTCTTCTCGTCAATCATTAACTCTACTAAAACAATTATATTCTATTGATAAAATCGATAATATTGAAATGATATGGTCTCAACTAATTCCATCTGTTCAATGGCGATTTGCACGTTTAATTAACTGGATGCCTTCAAATTCATCTGATATATTATTTTGGCATAGTATTCTACAAGATGAAACGAATGATTCATTAATATTAAATCAAAGTAAACTTCATCGTATATATCCCGCATATATATATTTTTCAATTAACGATGATAATGAAAATCTTGATAATGATGAACAATGGTGTCAATGGTTACGTTCAAAACCATGTGATTATGCATTACAAAATTCATTTGATAATACATTACCAATTGATCCATTAGTTAATATTGTTCGTCAAGGACTTAAAAATCGTTATGATGATAATGATAATAATTTAAATATAAAATATCCAGCATTAAGATTATTATCAAAATATTCGAAAATAAATTCATTTGATATAAGTATTTATCATTTACTTGATCGTTTTAGTCAATTAGATATATCACGATGTTTTACATGGCAAGAAGCAAATATATTTCGTGCTAATGAAGATTTAACTATTTTACATGATTGTTTTTCATCATCAAATGATACAAATAATAATGATCAACAGCAACAACAACAACAACACTCAATTGATTATCGTTATTTATTTGGACAAAATCGTCCATTAACATCATTTGCACATTTTCTTTCATCATCAATTGATGAACAAGAACAAAATCAACAACTATCATCATCATCATCATCATCACAACAAAATTTATCAACATTAATTGATAGACGTTTTAATCGTTTAAAATATTTTTTAATAACATCATGTAAAACAAATTTAAAAAATTATTTATCATCAATTATATTATTTGATATATGTAATGAAGAAACATTTTATATACGTTTATATGTATCAGTAATGAAAATATTAAAAACAACTATGTCAGAAGATTTAACATCAATATCATTAAAATTATTATCATCAATAAATGATTTTAATTCATTAAATTCAATAAAACAATTAATTTTATTTAATCTTTTTTCACAAACATATTCATTAAAACATATACCAACATTATTAACATATTATACAAATCGTTCATATTGGTTTGAAATGTTATTTATTGCACAATTATTTCATTATAGTGTTGATGATATTATATCATGTTTATCACAAGTACAACAACAAAATATGTTATTTGAACATTTAAAATGTTGTTTTAAACGTTTAGTTAAACAAGATCATACACCATTACTTAAACAAGATCTTTTTGCTTTACTAACTGATCAAACATTAACATCGGAACAACTTAAATTAAGATTTCAACAAGGTATAAAAATTACAATTTCTATGTAATAGAATTTTGAGTATATAAGTAAAACAGAAAGATGACAGTCAGTTCTAGCGTTCCTTCCTAGATAGTAGTATTTGATGTACTTGAGTTTCTATGAAATTTCATTGTACATCTTGGATCAGATATTACGAAAATCGATAGAAGTTTTGAATAAATTTATATGATAAGAATAGGAAAATAAACAAGATTAACTGGTAGTCGGTTTCATCCATAGTCTATGACATAATCTCAAGCAAAGCAAAGCAAAACTTGAGTGTTTCAGATGGTTTACAAATTATTTGCAGGTTATATTAAAAAATTAAAATGATTAGTTGTTATATGTTTAAAATTCCAATGAATTTTACAAATTTTTTAATATAATTATGCATATCTTGACATAGACCTAAGTTTTTTTTTCATACTAAATGCTTCTTTGACTTTTTGATAGTAATGGACTTGATTCTGATTCGGATCATCGATAGCCAGAATTAACCACTAATGAATCCTATATACAGCTTTATTGATGACATTTCACCATTTTTGATAAAAATAAGAGAAAATACAAAACTTAATCATGGTGTTTGCTAAGTTAAAATTACATTATCCGATTACTTTATTATAGAGATGTTCTTCATCTTTCCTAATCTAAAATTTTTCGTACTCGATATTTATAAGATATTAACTGTAAAATGTCAATATAATATCAAAATGTCTTCGAAATTATAAATTTGAATAGTATAAATTTCTTTGTAACACATAAGAATTCTTTTAAATTATTCAAATTGGTATTAAAACATTAGAAAAGATTACACAATTCAAACTTGTTAACATCTATGTTTTTTTATAAAACACGATCTAAAAAGAGTGTTGAAGTATATAGAGTAGAAATTCGTATCCTTCTCCCTCCCACACAGACCGTGACAGATGTTAATGATGTACGATCAAAGATCGTATATCAATAATATCTCATTATCATATTTGAACTACTTCCTTTTTTGTAGTTCTGAAGTATTAAGTGAAAGGATGGTGAAGAAATGTGTTCCAAAATAGATAGAATAAAACAATCTTTCTGTGTTTAGCATGATCAATTACATTATGTTTTACATTTTAATCTTGCAGAGATTGTGATGATCACTTTTTTTTTAAAAATAAACCCTACATTTTCTTTGTTTTCTTCTAGGTGCTCAACAATGTTCTCGTCCATTATTAGCTGTTCTTTATAGTACTCTTCCACAAGTATCATCAATCGATGGATTTGTTTTATTTCTTCAATCATTAAATCCAAAATATCCACATCTATTTCCAATAACATCAAATTCAGCTAATTTAGCTAGTCGTTTATTATGTCATATAGCTGGACTTGGTCATTGGACAGTCCTTATTCTTGCAACACATATATTTGCACCTGATAGTCGATTAGAATTATTAGTTCGTTTTTGTTATGCATGTATTGATATAAATGAACAACCGATACCAAAATTTTTAACTTCAACAGAAACATATATTGGTCTTGGACAAACATCAACTTGGTTTGAACAATTAATAAATGAATTATTATTATGTGTATTTCGACAAGTATCATCACATACAGATATACGTTCAATATTTCATTTACTTGGTGAAAAAAATGAATTTTATCGTTTTGAACCATTATTTTCTTTACTTGATGAACAACCATCACCTGTACCATTTGATTGGTCACTTGTTATGTATACAGATCGTTGTTATCGTTCAATAATGTACTTAATTGAACAGTTAATAAAACATGATCGTTTTGATTTAGTTGATGAAATAATTGTTCGTGTTAATATTGAAATTGATGTAACATTATTTGAACGTTTTAAATGTTCATTTGATGAATATAAACATGATCGAAATACTGATGATAAAGAATTAAATGAAGCATTTGAAACAATATGTCAAGGACATCAAGATGTACTTAAACGTTTAAAAAAACCATTACTTTATGGAGATTTTCTTATATCAATACGTTCAACATCATCAAAATTAATTCGTGTATTACTTCATATATTTGCTAATCAAGCACAACATTTACCTGAACCATATGATTATTTATCAATAAAAATTCCTCAACACCAAACAATTAATGATAAATTATGGACAGCATTAATTAGTTTTATACATGAATATCAAAATAGACCAATTGTTAATAAAATACTTGATTATATGGTTAGTTTATTTTCAAATTATTTACTTGATCAATTAGGAACAGAAAAATTAATACCAAAAGATTTTGATGGTTATTTACGAGTATTTGAGGAAATTGAAATAGAAGATGAAATAATTGATGAAGATAAACAAACAACAATTATTGCTGAAAATGAATTCGAAGCCGCACTTTTAAAAAATGTTTTTGCAACAAATAAAGTTACATCAACAACAGATACAGTTGTAACAGTAATATCAATAGGTATGATTCATATTTAAATTATAAACAAAAATTCAAAGAGATATCTATATTTGTTGGTATTTTTTATATTGTACGATTGGAAAATAATGATGTTGACTATGTAACTCAACAGTAAAAACTCGCATCTATTTTTCGAAAGAAAATAATGAGTGTAAATCTATAATACGTTTTCATGACTGTCCAGTGGAACAGACGTCAGACTTCATTTCAACAATTCCTTAGCAATGGGAAAAAGCGCTGAATCGCATTAATAACAAAGCTTAAACTGTTCTAGAGGATTCCAAACAGTCCTCAATATTCAAATAGTAGAAATACGTATTTGAATATTTTAATCGCATAGTTTCTGATTTTTGCGCACATAAATGATTATATATTAGATATTGAGGATGTTGTCTAGTGCTATATTGATTGCCTACAGTCGTCATAGGATCAATACAAAAATCATGAATTAATCAATTTCGTACCTTTGAGAATAATCAATATTAATGTTTGTCTGAGCTTATCAAGATACGTAATCAAGCCTTGAAATCTACTGTAGATATGATGAATGTGTGGAACAGAAGTATTTGTCAGTTAAATCAATAAAATAAAATAAAGAACGAGCGAATAACAACAAGACAAATGAAAAATAGAGCGTCAGTAGAAAAAAATCATTTCTGTTCGAGAATGATTATTTGATAATAAATTTTCTTTTTTGAAGACAAAACTTCAAATACGCCATCTAATCGTCGTCCATCAAGTCGCGCTTCTTCATCTTCACATTTACCATCATTTGGTGCAACATCAAGTCGTCGATCATCAGGATCATTCACAGGTTCTGGTGCAACAAATTTACATCATTTATCCGATAAAGATCTTCGTTTATGTGTAACAATAACTGAAAATGCATTTTTACAACGTTCATCACCTGAACTTGCATTACAATTAGCAAATAAATTTCGTATGACAACATATAATTTAACTGCTTTTTCATATGCACATCGTCTTTATTTAAATATTTTATCACCATCTGATATTCGTACACGTATTGATCAATTACCTGAAATAAATAATAATACTCAATTTAATAAAAAATATTTAACAGATGTTTTACGAACAATATCAATAACATCAACAGATCATGATCAATCAAATACAATTGATGATCAAAAACAAAAATTAATTGATCGTCTTTTATCACGAACATCACATGATGATCATTTAATACCAATAATAAATACATTATTTAAAATAAGTCGTCTTTTTCGTATTGATTCATGTTATTTATTAAAACCAAATACACATAATGATGAATGGAATTTATTAAAACGTATATTTTCTTATCCATCATCATCATTTCCAACAAAAATAAAATTAGCTGAAAAATTTTCAAAATATTTACAATTATCAAGTGAACAACTTGTCGAATTAATTGTTGATGAAACAGATAAAACATTAAAACTTTGTGAAAAAAATGATCCAAATGATGATTATCATTGTTGGCCATTTGATCCAAATAATATTGAATCATATAAACAATTTATTTCACTTTTATATGAAAAAAATTATGATGCTATTGGAAAACAACTTGTTGAAAGATCAAAAATGTATGAAGATCAATTTCTTTCTTTGGGTATACCAGGTTAGTTAAAAAGAATTTTTTAAGAACAGATATCGAAAAAAAGTGTTGGTTCATGAATTACGGAGGGAACTGCCGTAGGTTATAGCAAATATATCTTAACCTATCATTTGTAAATTCTTCAATCAACTTCAATTGATGACCTTTGAGCTGTTCTGCCAGCTCGTTAGTTTTTGACTCTAAAACTAAATCTAGAGTGCCGGATTAAAGATTAAACGCTCAATTTTGATACTTGGCAATTTCGATGCAACTGATGGCAACTAGTGTATCTATTTATCTATATAAATTCTAAAACTTGAAAGTGAGGTAAAGGAAAATTGAATTTTATCAAATTGATGATTGTTTCGAACTGAAATATCAACATGTAACTTTACTTAATTTCAATATGGTTACATATTTCTCGTTAAATTTCTTGCGAGTATTGTTTGTATATAGTAAACTAATTTCATCAATTTACTTTTGATAGATTCAGTCATTATTCATCTTACAATATAGTCAGATACATTTCTGAACATGCTATTAATGGATAATGTAAAAGAAGAAGTTCTCTGCACATTTATTTTCCACCTTTTATAGAATTTTGTAGCGCACTACGATAGGACATTGTAAAGAGGTAAAAATAAAAGTTTTCTATTATTGGTTGAGTTCAAAATCAATATTTTTCTAACAATCTTTGTTAGCGAAAAGCTTTTACAACTAATAAGTGATTTCGAAAAGTAAGATTTTTGTCTAGCAATTGAAGTTAGTCAAATCCAATATTTAATGTCCAATTAGAGTTTAGTGAGCTCTCTATAAAAGTACATTATGTAATACAGAATACAGTTTTTCTATTAGACATTATGAGAAAAACTTCATTGGACGTTGTAAACGGAAAATCAAATTTTTAAAATAAAATAATTTCCTATTGGAATTTGTAGTTTTGTAATTCGAATATTTTGATATCACTAGAAAGCCTGCGTCACGTTAGTTACACTCACACATTACATGTCTAAAAGTTTCGAAAGCCAACTGCAACACAAATCGATCAGATGTACTTCTCATCATTGATTTTATGTGAAGTTGCAAAGTACTTTTTCAGTCAAACATGTTCTTAAAAGGTATCAGCTTTCGGTAAATATTTTTACACAACTTTGTAGTAGAGATTCTAATAATAAAACTATCGAGTTTTCACGATGAGTTATTGTCATACTATATTGAAAAAAAAAACCAAATAATGCAAAACTTTTGCATCATCCATTATATATTTAGACTAAATAAATTGATTTTAAATAAAATCTATATTTATTTATTTTTTTTTATGAACAGATGTTTCATCGCCATTACTTCGTATTCGTATTGAATTATTAATCTATGCACATACATGTTTTATTAATTCATGTCATATGGAAGGAATATGTTTAGTACTTGATCATGCTCGTCATGTAGCATTTCTTCTAAATGAATTAAATGGTTATCAATTACTTATTCGTTTATTAATGGGTTTACAACAATATTCTGAAATGATATATATATTTGATATGTTATTTCAATCTGATCAATTTGATTTATTATTATCAACAATAAGTAATAATAATGATGAACGTTTAAATACAGCATTATTTGATTATATAAAACGATATCATCCAAATGATGAACATACATTTACATCAATATCAATGAATTTAAATATGCATCATGAATTAGCCGTAATGTATCGTGATGCAGGAGAAAAATTATTAAAAACACTTCAATTTAATCAACCATATTCATCAGCTGAAATGTCAATAACATTACAAAGTTTACTTCAATATTATTCTGATGCAGCTGATACATTTTATTTAGCTGATTGTTGTCGTCAAAGTGAACAATGTTTAAAACAAGCACGTCTTATATCATTACAAATTGAATTTATGCAAAAACAACAAGGATTAGTTATATTAAATTTAAATTCAAAACAAATACGTGATTTATTGCCAAATTTTGAACGTTGTTGGCATGCATTTATTTTAGCTGATGCTTATAATGAACATTCATTATGGTCACATTGTTTAATAGAACAATTTATATGTAATAAAAATTCAAACGCAATTGTATATTGGAATGAATTTCAACAATTAATATCAATTGATGATCAATTTATGTTAACAATGGGAAGAAATTTATTAAAAAAACCTTTTAATACAATATCAATTAAAAATTTTCAAGAAATACTTTTACATATAACTGATTCATCTATTCTTATTCATTTACAACAATTATTAATAACAAATGATAATACTTATTCAAATTTATTTACATCTATTGATTCACCATATATTCGTGATACTATTCGAGTTCTATAATATCGAATATTCTTTTTTTTTTGTGTGATATGTTAATTCTTTTTTATTTTATTTTTCGTTTAATTTTACATTGGTGATTCTTTTTCTTTTTTATTTATTTAATCCGAAATGCTACTGATGAAAAGATGGACGAAATTTTAAGCATAATAGTATTATTGATCAAGTCTTTCTTTTTAGTGAATAAAATTGTGCAAATGAACCAACATTATGTTATTATAAAGAAAAAATTAAAAGTCTGATAGTTATGTTTGCTAGAAATATAAATACAAAGTGTGCCAAAAGTCTGCCAGACAAAAAAAGAACATGAATAACTTTTAAACAAAGCAATTGATATGTATGAACTTTCTATAATTGTATGGTTTTTAAAGTTTTGTTTTACATTATTTCATTTGTGCTCGTTGTTCAAAATGAATACACTGAATTGAAATATGTAAGTTCACTGTTTTTCAAATATTTGAGAAAAAAAGACATTGTTAGAATATTCTGCAAAATCATTGTATTTTCATTATCAATTCTTATTGTGATTACAATATGATTTTTAGTAAACACTTTGTAGTCTTGAGTTTTATTTTTAACTTCGTTTTAGTGAAGAAAACTATCGAAAACCATTAGTCAAGGTTGCATAGAAAATCCGTTTTTCACATTTTACTGATAATTATTGATAACAGTATTTTGTGTATATCTCCATGAAGACAAAAACTTTAAAAAAAACTTTTTATCAAAATGCTTAGAATTAAAAAGCTCTACAAACGCTGAAAATTTCATCAAAATCGGAGATCACTTTTGTATAGTGTGTTTGAGATCCCGTAGAAATACTTATACATGTTGATGGCTAATTCAGAGAAGAGGAGAAAAAAAAGAGAGAAGAAGTATAAAAAAAAAATAAGAAGAAGATGATACATATCGAAAATAAAATATGATCTAGTACAACCAATACATATCGTACAAAAATTGGTTTTATAGAAAATTTAATATTATGACATTAGTTGAAGTCTGATCAAATAGTATAGAAAGACAGAGCAGTTTTTTCTCTATCAGACTATATAGAAAGAAAGTTCCTTGAAGCCTACCATACGAAATTAAAGTGTCACTGCTACTACTTTTGGTATGCCCTAAGTATATATAATATTTCATTTTAGTTAACGAATTCATTACGAAATCGATTGGTTACCATCTCGTTGGGTGTGGGTATTACTAAAAGTGAATTGAAGATCTGCATCCATAACCGGATTTATACCCACATCCATCTGAGATGGTAATCAATCGATATGGTAATGAACTGGTTAATTAAAATAAAATGTTATATATGGAATCGTTCAGGTTTGATCCAGACTAGTTTTCGGTTGTAAGTTCATTCGATGATATTGAAATCAGCGAAAAACATTGTCAGCAAAAAGGAAAATTACGACTCATGAAGATTTGTACAAATGTGATGCATTATAATTTCGACAAAGCGTTACTATTCTGTGGTGAATTTTGTATTTCTCAATAATTCTCATTATTATTTGTTCTATTCTACAAAAATATGTATTGATCAAAGATTTTTGTTTTTTTTTCGTCCATATTTTCTAAAAGCGGTTGAAACCTTTAGGATGTCTTATTTTCAAAGGCAAGTGAAATATATATTTCCAATTCATAAGATTTGTTTGGAATGCTGAAATCTATTCTTAAAAAGAAAAACAAACTATAACAATAGTAATTTGTACAAATAACAACATCGAAAAGGAAAAAAAGAAAACTGTTCTTTTTATTTCTGTTGAATCAATTTAATTTTTCACTGGCACATATTAACTGTAACCGTTCCATTTGACAATAATGAATCGGATAATGTCCGTTGATTTATTTTCTGCTTATGCCTATTTATTGTCAATTTTCGATGATGTCGTCTTGTTGGTATTAATGATAAATTATTCATTAAAGTTATTAATAAAAACCATCGAAAACGTAAACATTTTCGTCTATATTGTTCAATTATTTGTTTTTCATCAATTAATAAAAAATGTTTTTGTCGTTGTCGTTTATCAAGTATATTCATATAAATAATTTGTGTAAATGTTATTAAAATTGGATGTGTATGCATAGCTTCAACATAAAGATATGATGTATATGCTGTATAACCATTATCAATTTTTTCTAAACTTCTTCCAAATATACTATAATCAAGTCTTGGCATATAAAGTACAAGAGCAATTCCTGATTTAAATAAACGTGAAATACATGATACTATGCCAAGAAAACAATCAAAGAAAAAATTAAAATAAACAAATAGAAAATAGGCATGACGATTTTCTAATGTAAATAAATGAGATTCATCATGATCGTTATCATCAGGTGTTGATATTGATGAACCAGTTGAACCACTATAAATTGCTTGATCTAAATTAAAAATGATCAGTTTACAATAGACAAATTTTTGCTTTCTAAACAATCATATTATCTTAGATGAAACATTTTCTAAAGATGACTTTTAAAGATTTACTTAATCAAAAAAAATTTCTCTATATTCAGTAGTGTTTCTACTTAGAATACTCCTTGGATATATATATGTCTAGTGAATGTACTGAATTCAGGATACCTTGCTATCAGTATGTTACAGGAATCTTTGAGTGCTTTGTGCGCTTGCAGCACTTGACTTCAAAATACTTTTAAATGTTCAATCTACTAATTTGTTGACAAATTTTTCGTAGAATGCTATAGTGACTGTAGTGATGAACATAAGTTTACAGTAGTTGTATTTTTTAATTTTCTTGTCGGTGATAGTAGTTAGCAAGAATATTTGTGTAGTTGAAAAGATTCTCTATTAGGATTGGTAAAACCGAAGGCTCCAACAGAACTACTTGGATGAGAATTTGTGGAAAACCAAGATTCCCAAAACCAGTTTTCCGGCTTTTATTTAAACCTTTTGAAGAAAGATTTTACGTGATAGATCAAACGGTTCTGAACGAAGTGAAACGTCTTCGATCTTTCCATGCCCTTCCTTCATCGAATTGCATTCAATTTACAGTAGGCCCAAGAAACATTTTTCTCTTCTTTTCATTGAAAATTTTAATGTTTTGATCATATTTGATGCTTTGAGCCTTCTGTAAGTTGAATGCAGTTCGATGAAGGAAAATCATAGAGAGGTCGTAGAAGTCTCATCTTGGTCAGAACCTTTTAATCTATCACATAAAATCTTTTGTCAAAAGCTTCGAATGAAAACTAGATAGCCAGTCTTGATTTTTTGCAGACGCTTATCCAAGCAGTTTTGCTGAAACCTTCGAGCTTATCACTCCTAAGAGAGAATTCTTTCAACTACGTACATGTTTTTTTTCAAACTTTTGCTAGCTATTGCTATCGAGAAGAAAACTTAAAAATACAGCTACGCTAAACTTTTGTCTGTCACTATAGGCAAGTATCTAATAAGTATTCATGTACTGAAACAAATCTCAGCAGAGTATCCAACCAAGATCCTGTGACATACTCTTAACAGAGTACTCGAAAGGGTGCTCTACTAACAACTGATCCAATACATGAGTAACTTGAATTCTGTATACTCACTAGGTATAATAGACTATAAGGAGGAAAGATTGATAGCCATTCATGAAAATTAATTCATCTCAATTATAATTAAAAATCATTTTTTTTTCGTATGCTTTCAATCGTCTATCACTTTACTAATCAATAAGAATGTGTAGATTAAAATTCAATTTATTGAGTATTTCACATCAACCAATCGAATCTTTAATTAAATATATACATTTAGCATTGTTCACAATGGTATACATTGATCTTTATTGATTTACAGTACATCAAACTAGATTGTTCTTAGTATTCTCTTGCTGTGAAATGTATTCAAAACTGAAGTTAACGATTGATTCTACTTGTAAAATTTCAATACTTCAAGAGAATATAGATTGGATAGCTATCACAAACTGATCTTCATATATTTTCTAGATATACTCTTATGCTTATAGCGATAGGATTATGATTTAGAGAATTGTATCTCATTAATCGAAATATGTAGTCATGAATATGATAGATTTAATATAATTGATACAAATAATAAACATATTTATCTCGAAAGAAATTAATACAGAAAATAAAATTTCTAGAAAAAAAAAAGCCTATTCAATTTACCTTGTCTTTCTGTATAATTATCATGTTCATTTTTTCTATCATGTTCAATATTTTGTCTTAAATTTCTATTTGATTTAATAACTCTTAAGAAAAAATATCTTGTTAAACAATAAACAATAATATGTTTTAACGCAAATAAAATAATCATTGGTAATATAATTTTTAAAAGAATTTTCGTTAATAATGGATGTATAAATAATAATTTAAATAATAAACATGTTATAAACATAAAATAATTTATTACTATAAAACCATATGCTAAATAACCAACTTGATAACCAGAATAATGAAATGATTTTTGTAAAACACATGATGATGACAATAAATCTTGATTTTTTTTATAATATTTTCCTTGATAATAATCTAACATATCAGTTTGATATTTTTTTAAACCAAGTAATAATTGTATAACATAAATAAAAAATGATAATAAACATGATAAATAAATTTCATTTTGAAATGATAAATTTTCAAATGATTTTATTGATAAATTTATATTTGTTATATTCATTAATTTAATTATTATATTACCAGTTAAATTCATAACTAAACGCAATGTAAATGTACTTGAAAATATAACTGAACATGTTAAATTATATAAAACAAGAAATGAAACTGTATATGTAAATAAAACTAATGATGAATAACGAAAATATGCTTTTGGTTTATAAAATAAATGAATTAAATTTTTTAAACATAAACAATTTTTTTCTTCATGTATTGTTTGTGTATATAAATAATAACTTGTTGATGAAGATTTACGTTTATTAATTAATAAATTTTTTGTATAATACCAATCATTATCATATTCAATTGATGTTGTATGATATGTTGAATTTGTTATTGTATTCCATCTATCACTATTACCTTTACATAATATTAAAAAATTTCGTAATGTTAATGTATAAAATCTTGCTATAATATGTCCTAATGCAGCATAATGTGGTAAAAATTTTAAGAATAAATAATGTATACGTGATATTTCAATTTGTCTATGTGTTTTTAAACTAATTATTGATGTTAATGCATGAATACAATTAGCTTCATAATAAACAGATAATAATAAATCAAATGTTAAAAATATTGATGTTAAAAATGTTGATAAAAATGATTGAATATTTAATGATAATAATATTGGAAAATATCTTATACCATAAAGTACAATTAAACCAAAACGACGTATTAAATCATATAATATTCCATGATGAAAATTAATATTTGCTGAAAATAATATTTCATATAATAATGTTATTAATTGATTTGATATTATTGCAAATACAATTATTGTATGAAAACGATTTGATTTTTGAAATGGATTAACTAATATTGGAAATGATAAATTTTGTAGAAAACTTTTTTTTTTATCTCTATTTATTGTTTGATGTATTATAAATAGAAATAATGTTAATAGAATTGATAATGGTAGCATAATTATATTTTGATTTGAATTATTTGAACCAATTATATGACATAGATAAGATTTTGTTGAAAAATTTTTATTCATTTTTTCATTATGATCATTATATATTACATTTGTACGTTGAACACAAATATAAACAATTGATATACCAGCAACAGTAACAGTTAAAAATGATTGAATAAATGTTAATAAACTATCCATAATTGGTTTTGAACGATGACGTTTCGGAAATTTTGATATATTTGGACGAGGATTAGGTAATGGAGGAGGAATCGAAGATTTTTTGCATTCTGATGATGATGATGATGATGAAGAATGAGAGAGACACATGAATTTATTAAATAAGTTTCGAAATAAACAACCTGATGAACCATCGGTGACATAATTATTGCTATAATAAAAGAATTTTATGTTTGTGAAGATTTTCAAAAGAAAACATTAGCTTAAAATACAGAATGTCGAGAAAATTAACATAAATATCTCTTATACAACTGAAGTGATTTAATTGACTTTCTTTAAAATAATATGTAAGCATGTTTTTTAAAGTTTTTTTTTTTTTGTATATTTTTTGATAAATGTCTGTGCCGATAAACATTCGAATAAAAATTGTTTTATAAATGATTAAATTTGAGTCACCTATGGTTGTGAAACGAAAACGACAAGTCAACTCTGGCATAAAAACATCAAATGAAGATTACATTAAAGTTAAATTTTAATGCTTTTGTAGAACTAGTACAGTGAAAGGCCGAGAACATTCAGGAAGATCATCAAAAATTATATAAGAAAATGTCGATGAAGTTTATGATGTTTGTAAAAAATGAACCACAATTATGTGCTCGAGCTGTCGCAAAAGCCTGTCTATTCCACGAGCAAATTGCGCTTTATACGATTTCAGTGAAAGGTATTCAGTCATAACTCGGTGCGTTTTTGTTTATTGCATGAAGCAAGCCTTTTACGTTCTTCCAGAATATTCTTGATCTTCCGCTAAACTAGTTTCACAAAAGCACTGAAATGTAACTTTAATACAATCTTCATTTAAGATCTTTTTACTGAACCAACGCACAGACATTTATCTTAAGATATACAAAACAAAACTTTAAAGAACATACTAACATATTATTTTTTAAAAAATCAATTAAATTGTTTGAATTGTATAAAAGATATTTACGTTAACTTTCCTGATGAACTTTTGGGACATTCTGTATTTTTTGTATCCTGTGCCGTGACTGAGAGGAATTCTCTAACTCTTACTCTACACTGTAAAAAAAAAGAGTAGAATAATATACTTTCGCTCTAAGTACAATTTTTCATAAACCTTCAAGGGTTTAAGACTACAAAAAATGGTTTATTATAGTAGAATCTAGAGAGAAGGGTTCATTATTTTACTCTATAGGATAGATTATTCTATAGTTTCAGTGAAAAGGTATATCTTTACATGATTCCGCTGAATAGATTTACTATGCTTCGTATTCTTTAACTGAGTTATATACTTCAGATGATATTTCTTTACAAATCCTTGTAATATGATGGTGTCGTTATATATACGGGCTCACTTGTTATTGTGTATTAAAGCAATATCTTGTTAGTTTATATTTTTTAAATGATAACTATTGTTGTTTTATTGTGTTTTGTCTATTTATTATGTGTTTTGCTCTAGTAAAGAAATTACGATAATTACAAGCATGAACGAATAGACATAATATTTTTTTTTTATCTATATGAAATATTTAACATGTAAAGCAATAAAGTTCGGTGAAAGATTGAATTTTTGGCTGATCAACTGGCATAATTTTCACAGTATCACGAGACAAAAAAATTCGATTTCATATTGACGAGGACTTTAGGAAACAGATGCTTTAAACGAATAATTTGAATTATCATATCATTGGTCGTATCATTTCACAGGATTGCCCGGTTTACCAAATGAATCAGTCATTCCGTTTGTAGTTCTTTCTCTATTTTCACTTAAAGCTACAGTAACACATGGATATCGTAGTATTCTTCCTATTCCAAATAGGAAAACATTCCATCAACTCATTTACATTATACAAATGAACTTTAAGTAAAATTAACCGTTTATCATTCTCATATCTCTAATAAAACACACTTTTATATATTCTTCGGAAACTAGACTAGCAAAATACTTTTCTTAAATTATTATTAGCGTTAGAATTAAGTAAGTGTGAACGTAAGACAAATATCTCGAAAACGGTGTAAGTATCAATAAAAAATAAATTATTCATTTATTTACACTGTATTCAACATCTAACTCCGTTCTAAGTATCAACATAAAATAAACTATTCATTTATTTAGGTTGTATTTAACATCTAACTCCGTTGTAAGTGTCAATAAAAAATAAATAAATTATTTATTTATTTCGATTGTGTTAAACATCTAACTCCGTTGTAAGTATCAACAAAGAATATATTATTCATTTATTTAGATTTGATACAACATCTTTTCCAAGTGAAGTGATGAGTTTCAGTGAAAACCAAATACCCTGTCATAAACGCTACCGAAGGGTATATGAAAGGATATTTGATTTTTGTAAATCCTTAAAGAGCTTATGGTCCGTTTCACTTTCATAAACCCTTAAGGGGTTTATTATTCTACTCTTTTTTCTTTACAGTGTAGCTTGTAAGGTCAGGTAGAGTAACTGTACACATCTCTATTAAATATGTATTTAAAAAAAAATTTATTGAATGAATTGATTCATTATTATTCATATTTAGTCACAGTGAAAGCAGCTAAAATTCATCATTAGATCATTCTATTATAATCACTCAATTTTTCGATTGATTAAGTATAACAAAAAAACAATAATTATAAACTATCATGATCTTGTTTTAAGATTCACTTCTTTGTTAACTGTGATTTACTTCTGTTTAATAAACTTTTCGATTATAAAAACACTTTCACCAATGAATATTTATCTGATTAAATCATCTTAAATCTTCTTATCGTTTATAGAATTATCTTGATAATCTCACCTATTTTCATTTCGTCTTTGTATTTGTCTTTTTTGATAATTATTTTTATATTTTTGTGATCGTTTACATACACAAATACCAAGACAAGCTAAAGTAATAAATATACTAGCTGCAATAACTTGTATCGCTTCTGAACTATCTATAAACACAAAAAAAACAAAACATTTTTTTTTCAAATAAAATTATCTAATAAATAAATACATTTATCACAATAAATTCCATCATAAAGAAATGTACATTCACAATGAAATGTTATTCCATCATTACTACATACACCATGTATTCCACATTGATCATTTTCAAAACAATGATCAACTTCTATTAAAAAAAAAATTTTTTTTCTTAATAAAAAATTAATTAATATATTTATACATACTAATTTTACAAAGTGCACGTTCAGTTTTTGTACATTCTTGTTGCATTAAACCAAATAGAATTGTTGTTTCATTTGGTCTTAATAATTCAAGTTTACCACATGGTTTTTGTTGTTGATAAGGAAAAATAAGATTATTTGGTGCAATAACACTTGGTGGTGTTTCAGAAAAATTTACATGACGTCCATTTAACCATAACCATGATTCTTTAAAAAGAATATTTTGAAAAACACAAAACATTTATTTTTAAAAATTTTACTTACGATTTCGATAACTAAAACCAATATAAGCTCCAAATTCTGTTGCTGATCGATTAAACACTCCAACTATTTGTCTAACATAATCAAATTCAATAGCATCATCAAACGATGCTAAATCACCTTGATTTTTATTTGTATTAATATGAAAATGATTTTGACATAGATTATCAGCTTGTGACCATGTTACAAGCTGATTTGTTAATGAATAACAACTACCACGATAAGCAAAAAGTAATACAGATGATGTTGGACCAAAATCTCGACAGTAGTCTAAAAGAGAAACACCCATACTCATTAGTGATTCGATAGAGACAAGTCAATGCGATTCACACGTCAATCGTCTCTCATATACATGTATATAGTCAATTGTCAATTATACATGGACAATTGAATTCTACTTGTGTCGTTCAAGTGCCAACACAACAAATGAAGGTGACATTAAACGAGCGGCATTTATATTACGAACTATCAATGAGGTGAATCAGAACGGCTCAAAATTTTCTATCTATTAATAAGCCGTATCCATATGAAATAAAGAACATAAAAAACGAGTGTAAAAAACACACCTTCAGCAATTGACGATGTCGAGTAGATATTGTTGATAGTAGCATGAGTAATGTTATTTGTGTTTGCCTGATTAACCAGACGCGTTTGTGAAGTATCAGATGTAACAATAGATGGTTGATATGGACGATGATTATTTGAAAGTTTAGTTTTTAAATTGCGATATTCTTTCAATAGAAAAGAATCAAATAACATTCAATCAAAAATATGATTATTTTTTCCGTTTTATATTGTAACAAAACAAAACAAATAAAAAAAAAAATTCTTGATAGTTGTTAACTATCATTTTATGTCAATATAATCTCCTCCTATTTCCCATTGGGAATGAATAACACCTGTTTTATTTATCATCTCAAAGTATTAGTGGCATTTCGATGTATGTATCTCAATTCTTCTTCTTCTGTTTTTTTTTCGTTTAGCCTAAAGCTGTTGACATCTCCTTGAAATTATATCTTCAATTGTCTTTAGGAATTCAATCGATGATTGGCTTTTCAACATTGTAAATCGATTTATCTATTAATCATTTGCTTACTACTTGTTGGTGTCGGTCTAGTTTCTAGATGATGATGAATGTGTATAATTGATTTATCATCTCTCCTCGGGCAAGATCAAAACGTTTTCTTATTTCTGTTATCTTTCTACTCAGATCATACGATCCTGTCAATATATATTCTCTTCAGACATATATCACCTCAAGATCGTATAAGACAATATCGAAGTCACTTGACCCATAGACTATAAAAAGAGAAGATTGTCAGCTACTGAAATATATATCTAAATAGATAAGAGAATATATATATATATATATTAGACTTACTATTGGAAGTTTTTTGACGAAGTTTTGGTAGAGTACCATCATTATTAAAAAGCATTTGTTGAAATAATTCATCAGCAATAATAGATGAAATAATAGACAAGATGAATAAAAGGAAGAGTAGAAGGCCGAATTTCATATCTATGAATGTAGTCACAACATAAAATTGTTTAATCTGTATATATGTATGATGTCTCGTTTGCCTATATGCATACGCCTATATGAGCAACAACAATCATAATTTTTCTCTCTGTCTCTCTGTCTCTCTCTCTCTCTGTATTGCTCTTTCTTTCTTTTCTCTTTTATTTACACATACCGATTGAACAGTATTGACTTCTATATATGCGTGCATGTCTCATTTTTTTTCGGGCTGAATGCCCTTCTTCTCTTTTGTTCATTTTTTTTTGTGTATTCTAATAATACAAATTACCATATCATAGTTGATTATAGTTCATATGTTCAAGGCTAATCACGCGAACTGAAAATTGGCTCTATTTTATTAAAATACTGTCTATATTTAAATTAAACCTTTTCTTATCACAGGTTCTTGTTAATTTTGTGATTTTATTATATATATATATATTTTTTTTTTAACAATCATAAAACGATAATGGAGACGTATTTAATAGTGATTGCACAATAAACAACAATAAGAAAAGAGAAAATAGGTAGTACCGGATCGTTTTTGAAAGTGTGAATGAAAGAATAGAGATGTCGGAGCAAATATCACGTCTGCTTGACAAAATCTTAAGTCATAAAAATACAAAAGAAAGAAAAAAAAAGAAAGAAAAAAAATTCGCCTCTTTATGTAAATGCTTCTACTGGCAGCATATTTTTACGTTTATGCAATAAGGCAAGTAGTTGGTAGTACTGTTCAATTAGATGTTACGACAATATGTACCATCACGCTCGCATACTCAAGTATACCAATAAGAAAGAAAGAAAGAATTATTTCTTTTGCTTGAACTATATATGTCACTGCTTTAATACACAAAAAGGTACTCATTTAATTGAATATTCAAGTACTATATACTGCTGTTGCCATCACCATGATAACAAAATGAACAGTTGTTGTCTTCTTTTTTTTTTCATCTTACGTCATATCATTTCGACAACTAAGCAATGAAAAATTAAATTCAAAAAAAACAAATCAATGATTGATCATGCGCACTTCTCATGACATCTTATAGATAAACCGATGATTAGTAGTATAGTATGTTCACACACGAAATTTGTACATATATGTGTCTTTGATCGAAAGCAATGATAAGACAAAGTAGTTGATTTTTGTTGTCTAGTTTTACAATTAATGATGATGATGACCTTCGAGAGAGAAAAAGAGAGAATATCGACAAAGGCGGATCTTTTTTTTTAAATATTCACTTAGAAATCAATGGATGACAACAATGACACTCAAAAACAGATAATAGGATTCACTTTTTGATATGATCATGGGATGAATGAACATATGAGAATTCTTCAACTATATACATCTGTTATTACACATAATAGTTCATAAAAACAGCTACTTATTTTTATTGACGCAATACTGACCAGAGGGTCAGTCAACCACTCCGCCCACCCTATGTTTCACTTGAGTATCATTTAAACAGCAGTAAGCAAGTTGGCACACACAACCTCTTGTAATAGGCAAGTGCCACCAGACTGCTATTCTTTCTATCCAATATTCCCTCTTCACTTGATGAACGGATCGTTGGTGCATACTAATGTCATCCAACTTTTTTTTGTTCGATATTAGTACGCGCGCGCTTTTGAGTTTGCAAACAAATGAATTACTTCAAGAGGCAAAACATATACAGGTGAACGTGTAATTCGAGAGAATACACTAGTAGTTGTTCTTGCTAGTGGCAGACAGATACGCCCTCGTATATGCATGTGCGTGTGTGTATGTGTATGCATGCCTCTCTTTACATCATACTCAAGAACCTTCATTCTATTAGGCGGCGATGACTAAAGTGCTTGTATAGGTAAACATGAAGTGAAGACTCTTCTCTTTTCGCAGACAATAGAGTAAATAGACGATCAACAGACAGACAATCTAGGTCATCATGCTCCTTTAATTTTATTTCTCTTTGTCTTCTTTTCTTTTTTTTCATTCGTTAATTGATCGAGCGATTATCATTGAATAAAGTCATTTATCACTTACACCCTTATTATAACAATCATCTTCATCATTATCTCAAGGACATGATTTTAGACACACGCCCTTTTATTTTTTATTGTCTAAAAGAAGATATTGGACAGATCGTCAATTGTAAGGAGCACTTTAGATGCTTGTCAATCATTTCCTCCTTACATAAGCGTACATTCATATATATATATATGTATATGTGATGGATGAAGTTCGAGTGATAATCGAAAACAATCCATACAAGCGCTTGCATTGACTGCTTGACATGTAATCGAAACAAATTCCAACACGTTCATACTTTCTTTCTTCTTTGTTAGCTTTCGATAATCATACGCGTGTGTATGTATGTATGTATGTATATCGAATCATTCTCATCCAAAGTTAATTCCTGGTGTCATGGACGTTACGTGATAGAGTGAATATGTGTACAAAAAGCTCAATCAAAACGGAAGATATCATCTCTACAGAAGAAGTCCTTCGTGAATGCAGATCAAATGTACCGCAGACGTATGTTCATACACCAGACAAGATAACAAGTGCAGCAAAACAAAGAAAAGATTAATCAGTAAGAGAGATATTGAAAATAAACAATTGTCAACAAAAAGAACTCTATGATGTTTTGATGTCGTCTTTTTTTTTTCTTCTTACCTGTTTAATTCAATTAAAATACATTGAACTTATGATCGATCGATTGTATCGCCATCATGAGAGTCATTTTTTTTAACTGAGACCAATATTTCCGTTCGTTTATCGTCGTTTGCATCCTTCTTTTTTACTTGTTCTACAATTTAAAACGTCGTTTTTGTCTCCTCCTCCGTTTCTTCTCTCCCACTCATATATATATATATATGTATATGTATGCATCTATATTATGTTCATCATAATCACCTATTCGTTATATGTATATATACATATATAGAACATACATATACACCGGAGATCAATAATCACGACGCTAGTAAAAGAGATGGAATTACGACTATTGTTCCAACAATATATATGCATACAAAGCCCACTCTTATGTAAGCCACCTCCTCCTTGTCGCACCTTTTTTTTAAGTTATATTATACAATGATGACGAGAAGACTGACGCAGCCTAGCCGATAATCGGCATGTTTGTTTTATAATGAATATAGCCACTGTTTCTCCATTTACATTTACACCCACCTATGGTGTGAACTGTCAGTATGTCTAAAGACATAAAGAATTCCCTTTTTTTTTATTTTTTTCTTCTTTGTATAACACCTCATTTGTTCCATTCATTCATTCATTCATTCAATCTGTCTGTCTGATGTGTCAATCAAGTAAATGAGAATAAATTTTCATATGTCATCATTCCTATCATAATATGTGTATTTCAATAAACACGAATAAAACAAGATAATAATAAATACAAGATGACACAATGATAATATTATCTATGTACAAACAATTAATATTATACATTAAACAAAACAAAAAAATAGATAAATCAAATAAAAGATAAACTATAATTAACAAAGATCTTTAGGTGCTGCATCAACAATGCCTTCAGGTCCAATAGCAAAAACTGCATCAGTTTCAGGCAAACATGGGCTATCTGCAACATGACATATACGTGAATCACCTTTGCCTTTTTTTAAATAGAGTCTAAAACAAAAAAACAAATGAAATATAAAATGAAATAAATATCAATTAAAAATACCGTGTTGTTGATGCATGAGCCATTATATTACCACCAATAGGTTTCTTTTGATCACCATACATTGCTTGACCATCAACTTGAGCAACAACTTGATTAGTAAGTACAACAGCAACACCAAACTTAATAAAAAAAAAAAGTAATATTTTAATAAATAAAATCAATTTTAAGATATTTATTCAAACCTCATCAGTTATACGTAATAACATACGCATAAATTTTGCTAATTGCATTTGTCGATTAGCTAATTCACCACGACCAGAATAATCAGTTCGAAAAAGTGATGTTGCACTATCGACAATTAATACAGCATATCTATTAAAATAATATTTATATTATACATTAAAATAAAATTTAAGAAAAAAAAATATATATATATATATATATTAATAAACCTTGATTCACACATCATAGCTGTTGCCATATATAATAATTGAATTTGATGATCAGTATTATAAGCACGAGCATAAGCAATATTATCCAAAACATCGGGACCTGAAAGACCATATCGGTCAGCAATAGCTAATAAACGTTCAGGTCGAAATGAACCTTCTGTATCAATATAAATTGCTTTGCCTTCACCACCACCCATATCAATTGGTAACTAAAAAGAAAACAAAATTAAATTTTTGTTTTCTCTTGAAAAATTAAATAATTTACTTGACAAGTAACAGCTACTTGATGACATAATTGTGTTTTACCACAACGATATTCACCATATAATTCAGTAATTGAACCAGTTTCAAAACCACCTTGTAATTGTTTATCAAGTTCTCTTGAACCAGTTGTTAATTGAATGATTTCTGAACGTTTTTGATGATATTCAGTAGCTGTTGTAAAACCCATTGGTATTAATTTAGCTGCTTCAGCCTAAATAATATATACAGTTATTTCATTTTTTTTCAATTTCTTTGTAAAAAGAAACTTACAGCTAATTTATCAGCTTTTGCATCACTAATACCTTTAACAGCTAAAAGACTTTTTCTTGGTGCAAAAGCAATAGATTCTACTGTACAAAATCCAGCTTCTTGTAATTTTTTTAAATCTGCATTACCAATACCACATGATTTATCTAATTTTGTAATTGGTGTTGGCCCACCAGAATCACAATCAATCGATATACTTTCACTGACTTGAAGAGTAGTATTGGTAGCAACTGGTTGTTGAACTGATAATGTTGTTTCATTTTCTTTTTCAACTATTGATTCTCGTGTTTTAGTTTTAG